ATCAAATTGGTTATATAAATTGTGAAACACATCAGATTTCTATTTGTTCATGGATAATATAAAAATCCAGAGCTCACAGGGAGACCTGGCTACTCCTGAGAACGAAGTAAAATACCTAAACCACACAAATGACGTAGAAAGTAGTCATGTTTCATTAGGCTCAAGTTGCCTGAATAGTGAATCATACACAGTTCATTGTTAGAGAAGGGTATTAAACTCTAGCACACTACTTGGCTTGGCAGCGAACAATACTTACATAGTCAGGATGGTAAATAAAAGCACCATTTACTGGTTGTGTTAATTTCCTATTGCTGCATAACAAAGTACCATGAATTTAACCGCTTAAAACCACACCCATTTATTAGCTCACTGTCTGTACACCAGAAGTCCAGACGTGGTGTGACTGGGTTCTCTGCTTAGGGTTTCAGAAGGCTGAACTCTTCTAAATTTCAAATCTTTCAAATCTTCAAGATATTGGCTGGACTACATTCCCTCTGGAGGCTCCGCAGGAGAATCTGCTGCAGGGCTCATTCTTGTTCCTGGCTGAATGAGGTTCCTTATAGTTGTAGGACTGAGGTGCCTGTTTCTTTGCTATCTGTCAGCCTGGGGCCTCTCTCAGCAACTACAGGCCATCCACATTCCTTGGGACTTGGCCTGCCTGTTTTCAAAGCCAGGTATGGCATGTTGAATTCTTCTCATGTTTTGAAACTCTCTGACTACCCTGTCTTTGACCTCTAGACCCAGACTTACAGGGCTCCTGTAATTAAGTCATTCCCACCCAGATAATCTCCCTATCTTTTTTTTTTTTTTTAATATTTATTTATTTGGCTGCACCGGGTCTTAGTTACAGCACATGGGATCTAGTTCCCTGACCAGGGATCGAACCCAGGCTCCCTGCACTGGGACCGTGGATTCTTAACCACTGGACCCTCAGGGAAGTCCCTCCCTACCTTAAGGTCAACTGATTTGTGACCTTAAAAATTTTTGCTGCAATACCTAGATTAGTATTTGGGAGAAGGTGTGTGTCAGGGCAGGGAATTTGGGGGGTCATTTTAGAAAATTTCCAGCAATATAGTTTTCAATTTTAGAACCTACCTTAGATTCTAGACTAGTGATTCCCAACTAGGGTTGGGAGTAATTTTACTCCTCTCTCCTAGGAGATACTTGGCAATATATGGAGACATTTCTGAATGTCACGTAGTAGGTAGGGGGCAGAGATACTGCTAATCCACCTATAAGGTATAGGAGAGTCCCCACAGTAAAGAATTACCCAGCCCAAGATGTCAGTAGTGCTAGAGTTGAGAGACCCTGCCTAAAAGCATGAAAGATGATTATTATTATAGTACAGAATTATAGTTACATAAATGTAAAAATATAGCTGATATGACACAAGATGCAAGATGGAAGGATAGGAGGCAAAGAAAAGGAGAATGGGGTATTATCTACATCTTACATAAAGAGGAGACTGAAATTCTAGGATTAACAGACTAATGAACGGAAGGTGGGTATATTGTAAGTTATAAAGATAAGGAAAAACAATAGTGATAAAACTGTCAAGGTGAGGAGGGAAAAGGAAAGGGAAGTAGGAAGTAATGAGGAGACAACAGAGATGGCCTAAAATTGATAAATAAATAATAGTTTAAGCATTTCACTTGAAATTATGGAGGTAACCACTGATGGGGCTCTGTACACACTACCCCAAAATACGGCACTTTGAATATTGAATGTTTTAGGCTGAAGGAGTTTGAGAAGACAGCAGAAGCAGGAAGGTCACTCTGACCTTCCCCCACCCTTCCTCCCTGAAACAGGTCGTAAAACCCTCAGGTGACAGGTGTTCTCCCTATACACGGAGAAGAACAGCAGCCTTATTTCTGAGGACAAAGGGACGTAGCAAGACCTGTTTGTTAGGATTCTTTTCTAAGTTTCCCCCAGTCGACTCCACTGCCTTCATATTCTTTGACCTATCACATCTCTCTATGACTATCTACTCAGCATCAAACTCGGCATAAAAATACTCAGGCCTGTTTCTTTGGGTCTTCATTTCCCTTTGAAGGCTGCCATGTCACATGAAATGTATATTAAATAAATGCGTACGTTTTCTCTTGTTAATCTGTCTTTGTCAGTTTAGTTTGCAGACCCAGCCAGGGACAATAAGAAGGAGAAAAACTTCTTCCTCCCCTACACCTCCAGAAGAAGGAAGACTTTTAAAAAGGTTAAGAGGGTGCCTCAAAGAAGCAGGTCTGGGAAGAGAGAGGACAGAGTGAGAGGATGTTGTTTTTCATGATAAATTCTGCTGCAATTTTTCTTTTATTTTCTACTACACACTTGCATTATTTTAATAAAAATGTAATCTAAAAAAAAAATACTTAGAGGGTTAACCTGGGTGATGTATTCATAGTGCAGTATTGGTGACACAGTAATGTTTTAATAAGCACATGTGATGGCCTGTAAAATGGAATTTCTTTAAGAAGCTGTTCTCCCAGGCGTGTGGTCCTTATACAAAGCTTCATTTATTTGCATTGCAGTAAAATCAAAATTTTTAAATATCGCATAAAACTTACTGTCCTTATAGCTACAAAAAAATTGTGTAGAATTCTGGATCTGGACTGGAAGGGAGACAAAATTGAAAATAATTCAAGTTGTTGGTTGAGAGGATTAGAGACCAATGTTTTTATTTTAATTTTTCATTAATGTATGTTATGATTAATTAATTTTAAAACTTGTGATTGACTTTAAGTTACTCCCATATTATTATCTTATTTTATTAATTATTTTAAATTCAATGTCACTTTCTTCAGCTTTTAGAACGTGCAATTTGATGACATTGGGTGATAGGACTACAATATCAAAAGGGAATATTTAGTGCTATGGTCTGAATGTTTGTGTCCCCCTAAAACTCATATGTTGATATCTTAACCCCCAAAGTTGATGGTATCAGTAGATGGAGTCTCTGGGGGGTGCTTTTGTCATAAGCATAGAACCCTCATGAAAGGGGATAGTGCCCTGTGAGAGAGGTTCCAGAGAGCTCCCTAGTCCTTTCCACCTTGTGAGGACACACAGAGAAGTCAGCAGTCTCCAGCCCCGAACAGAGCCCTCACCAGACACCGAATCTGCCAACACTGTGATCCTGGACTTCCCAGCCTCCAGAACTGTGAGAAATAAAGGTTTGTTTATAAGTCACCCAATCTGCGGTATTAGATTTTGTTATTGCAGCTGGAACGGACTAAGACATTTAGGAATTATTTTCCTCAGGATTACCTGCTTTATCATATTAGCATACTAAAAAGCATGATGGAGTTGAGTGGAAGCATGCCTCATTTTCTGACAAAATCTGTCTTTAAGTTGAAAAGAAGCAGCTGGTGAGGGAGATTTTTGCAGAGCAAAGGCCATAAATAGTGTGCAATTTCCTTCACTTCCTAAGAGTGCAAAACTCAATAAAATCATGTTGGGGCCTGTTCTAATCTTTGAAGACGTTTTTTGCCAGTATTAGCACCAATGCCAGTAGCAACATGTCTTAATTCTAGACCCAAGCAAAACTGTCAGCAGGCATCCCTGGCCCTTTGTGGAGCACATGATGCCCAGATCTTTACCTGAATTCCTCCTCTTCTGCCCCACTTCCATGTCCACACCTTCTAGGCTCGACTGCTGGGGCTGATGGGAGAACAGGAAGCGTCTGGAGACCTGGGTACAAGGCTGTCTCTGCCGCTTACTGTGTGCCTTTGAGCAAGTCATTTTACCCCATGAGCTTCTTGGTTTCCTCATCCATAAAGTGGAAACATCAATACAAAACTCACAGGATTGATGGTAAGAATAAATAAATCACATGCTAAATTAGTGTCAATGAGGAGTATTAGACAATCGGTCATTTGGTGATATTTTTAAACTACCTTAGGTTCAGCACCTCCGTGTGCTTAATTAACACCTCCAAGTCATGCTGGCAACACCAGTGCCAGAGAGTGGCCGGCAGCGAATCAGACGCCTGACACTTGGCTGAGTGGACCCTGTGCTCCTGCCATCTGGTGGCTATTTATGAAAACTACCTCTTACTCTACATCCCGAAGCCTCTGTGAGCAAGGAGGCCAGAAGAGCAGCAGAGCCTTGAAAGGTGGGTTAGGAATGAAAGAATGCAGGCTCCTTGTTTGGGAAACCATAACATCATCCCACACAGGACCCAACCCTGGACCGCTTACAAGCGCCGAGAACAGACTCTAGGAGGCAGATGGCTCCCAGAGCAAAGCAGGTGTTTTTTTCAGCATCCAAATTTGTCAGTCCAAACAACCTCAGATACTCAAACTAGTACATGTTTTAAGGTGATATTCAGCTAAAAGTTTTCTATATAGAAAATGAACTCCACTGTTCATGAACTCTAAATGGTGCAATAAGAAATATACTAATTCACAAAGGAAGCATTCTTACCAAAAAATGTTAAATCTGAACATGATCCTGAGGAAACAGACAAACCCAGAATGTAGAACAGGTTCTGGCCTACACTCTTTTTTTTTTAAAGTTCATGCCATGGGAAGAAAGAAAGAAAAAAAGCAGAGGGACTTTCTTAGATGAAAAGATACTGAAGAAATATATAGAGATGTGGGTGGATCTAGAGACTGTCATACAGAGTGAAGTAAGTCAGAAAGAGAAAAATAAATATCATGTATTAACGCATATATGTGGAACTTAGAAAAATGGTACAATTGAACCGGTTCGGGGTGGGTGGTGGGTGGTGGTGGGATGAACTGGGAGATTGGGATTGACATATATACACTAATATGTATAAAATGGATAACTAAGAAGAACCTGCTGTATAAAAAAATAAATAAAATTCAAAAATTCCCCAAAAAAAGAAATATAACAATTGCAATATGTGAACCTTGATTAATTGGTTGAAAAAAATCTATGCTCTGGAGACACTTGGAAAAATTTGAATGTGGAATCTGAACATATATATTATATCATATATATGATGAAATTGTTGCTAGGTATAAAGCTGATTATGCGATTATATAGAGAATGTCTTTATTCTTGAGGGATGCCAAGTTGTAACACTAAAAAAAGTTTAGGAATGAAGTGTCATGATGTTTGTAACTTATTTTCAAATGGTTAACGGTTCAGCCAAAAAAATTATATCTTTATGTATATAATGTTTTATATATGCATGTACGAGGAGAGAGGAGAGAGAACAAAACAAATGTGACAGAATATTACCAAGGATTAATCTAGGTAAAGGCATACAGATGTTCGCGGTACCATTCTTTCCACTTCTCTGTAGGTTTGGAAAACATCATAATAAAAAGGTTGGAGAAATTCAATTTGTATGCTGCGCTTAAAATATTATGTGAAGATAAGGATTCTCTCTTCATTTTTCAGTTGAGTATATTATTGGCTACATTTGCGTCTGTATAATTGTTCCTTTAAAAAAATATCTTTTGCTTTGCCCTGTTCCCTGTTGGAACATTCACATGATATATTTATAGCCAGACGTGGCCAAGTTCACTCAGGACTCATCTGTGTAGCTTCATCTGTACTCTCTCTAATAAGGAGTTTTATGGCCATGTGTTTGATGCCTCCCTTGATGTGCCCCTTTATTGTTCCTCCTGCTGTGGTGTTTCTTCTTATGGCAAATGTTGCCTTTAGCATCTTTCTTGGCTGCCTGTTCTTTCATCCACTGCTTAATAACGTGATTGTGCAAGCTGACACAGAGTCTTCTGCGCTTGACGTGAAGGCTGCCAAGAAGGGAAGAAAAAAAAAATCACTGATAGAAGGTACAAGTCAGTAAAAACTTAGTGAACTTATAGGCAGTTCCCACTTTGGGACAGTGTATCTTTGGACATAGACTGAATCCTGAAGCTGAGGACCACAAGGATGAGTCTTTACTATGGTGCTGCCTGTGGTTCCTCAGACACCTGCAGAAAATACTAAAAGGAGGAGAAGCAATTGGAGGGGGAGGGG